CATAAATACTGTATTCTGCTGTTTCATTCAGCATACCAACTGCAAAGTGCTGTAGAAACTTTATATCACATTTCTGGCTATGGGTTCCTTATATCAAAATGTTCAAAATTTTATCCTCTACAATCCCCCAAATTTTTAAAACATCATTCTGATACACCCTGTATATANCCCACAATGGGGCTGCCGGGCGGCGAGGGACGGGGCCCGACATATCCGAACGGACCACACCCCGAAATTCCTGGGGATTTTCCGATCCATCCGGATTCGATCCCCAGAGCGGTGGGCTGCCACCTTGATCACTCGGCCATCCGGCCTTCAAAAGTGTAGTAGTAAATAAATTGTTTGCTGTATTCGTAATTGTTTGTAAACAATTACGAATATATAAATTTTTCAAATACTGAAAGCACTCCTTATATCGCGTACGTAGGGGGAGAACCCAAATGAGCGGTTTATCAGATGGAGTGATATTACCGCTGTATCTACCCGTTATCGGCTAAAGCGTTTTTATATTTGGAAGGCAAAAAATTAAATACGCGATGTATCGAGGAGCTTTATCTTTATAAATTTAAAATACTCAAAAATAACTCCCGTGAGGTTTTAGGAATAATGAACATTTTCATTTAGTTCCAAGTTTAAATCCAGACAGGAACTCATTGTTTCGTATGTTGTATGCCAACGCCACCTATCGGTGATTTTTACAACTAAATTTTTCGCGTTCCTAAAAAATCTCCCGTACTTACACGATCTACCACGTACTGTATTGTACAGTACTTACCACACAAATCGCAATTCGTTCCGATAATTCTTCCATTTTTTTTTACGAATGTTGAAAATTTTCACGGACTTTTCGCCCACCTTGTTTATTGGGAAGAACTTAATTTATACAAAAGGCAAAAAATACAGCATGTGAAAAATGCAATTTTTTCATGTGCGCCACAATGTTGATTCGTCACAAAACACTTCGAGGTCTGAAAATCTTACTCAGCAATGAGAGAAGGAACTGTTGCAGCGCTTGATTCAGCGCTGAACGAGGAAAGTCCTCGATGTTGCGCGCTAGCGGGTGATTTGAAATTGGAATTTCATTGGTAACAAAAAGTGACAAAGTTGATCAACCGAACCTATTCCTATGGACTTAAATTTTTTTAAAGAAAAAAAGCATCAAAATGCCTTAAATTTCTTGTCATATACAAGATCAATCTGAAAAGTTTTGAGACAATAACTGAAGATCAATGTGCGATATACATGTATGTTTATTGCTATTGTTCAAAGTACTATTCTTGATTTCATGAACGTGCCAAAATAAATTTTTATATCTTTCAAAAGATCTGTTTTGGAATGATGTTGATCTCTTTTATAACCCTATTCTGAGTTTGTTACAGAAATTTACTACTACTTTCCCAAACTTAAATTTGACTTAAAGTTAGTTGACAGAGTGAGTGAGTCTGGTGAGTAGGATAGATAAAGTATATTAACACTTACCTTCATCAAAAATACTTCAAAGTTGTAATTACTGCCCTATCACCAGTTACAATGCAAAAAATCAGATCAAGAACTGCATGCAATAGCTATTTGCTGTTGTATGTAATATTCTTACAATAAAATTCATCTTAAAAATTTAATGACTAATATTATTGCCACATCAACTAGGAAGAACTTATTTGTCTACACATTCTGAAAGACAAATGATACAATTATATTCAGCTTGAATTAGAAACTTGTATCATAAATGTGTTTAATATATTAGATTAAATTAATAATTGAGACTATTTTTCTAACTAGAAAAATTTGGCTAAATTTTTGATAATTTTATATACAGAATTTATTAATTCTTCTAATAGATTCAAATAAATTACAGCCTATCTTAATCTGTAATCTCATCTAAATTTGATTAAACTGAAAAATGTTTCAATTTTAAGGAATGTACACCTATCATGTCCCGATACAAAGAATGAGGCTTCATTTCATCATCCAACGGTCAGCATTTTCCCATCTGGTAAGTTTTCATAATTAAATGTAATCTTGTCAAATAATTATGCCAAAAACCAGTAATCTGGAACTAGGTTAATTAAATTGTTTAATGATTTTAAAACTTTGGTTTTTCTTATGTAATTATATAATAATAATAATCTATACAGAGTCCAGTGTTAACATTTGATTATAATATCTAACACAAATTCGTGAATCATTAATTTTATTAACCTACTTCTAAACCATGGATTATAATTATTTGATGATTTAGTTTTTAAAATACTGAATATCATTATAGAATTTAACATTCTTTTATAAATCTTATTTTTATAGAGAACATACTTGGGATGAATTCTATTCCCAATGATACTTTACAATGCATACAGTATCCTCACTATGTTACCCTGTGCAGATTTTGTAATTACTATGACATTTCTACAGGGACGGAGAGATATTTAACGTCACCACATCTATCGCATGCTTGTCAGATGTACATGCCATGTAAGTGAAATATCACTGTGGAGAAATGCATAACAAGATCTTTACTTATCTCAATGACATTAAGTATGGCAAAGAAAACAACTTTTTTTTATAGATCAGCTTCTATTTAAAACGAACATTTTAATTAAATTGTACGTAACAATTGGTAAATGTGAAATTGTTATGATTAAATAATTATGAAAGAAAACTCAAAATATTTCAATTTGCATTTTATTGAAATTTATAACAAGCTTTCTCATATTTAAACAGAATATAAAAATCTAACTGCATGACAAAAGCCACAAAATATACAAATAAGAATTTCTGTACATCTTTAAGCCAAAAAACACATTAACCTTAACAACTATTGTCAACAATTTGGAAACATTTATGTGTTTTTATATACACCTAAATATTGCAAGTTCTTTCTCAAATACAGGAAATTTATTAATTTTTCAGTTAAACACTAAGCAGGATTTTAAAAAAAATTTTATATATTTTTCATATTTATCTATATATATATAAAAATTTCCATATCCAATAACTAACTACATATACAGAAAACTATCTTTTGAAGTAATCTACAAGATTGTTAGATTGTCTACCATCCTTATTTTACAAGATTTTGTTGTTCACTCTCAACAATTTTACAAATACTTGAAAGGCATGTTCGATGGGGATGGAATGATTAATTCGTAAAATATTCAAAAAAATATGAATACAAAAAAACAGGAATCTTGAGTGTGAATTTTGTGGGAAAGATATGATGTTTGTGTGCACAAAATCCCCGTGCTCAAATACAAAATTAAGCAACGTATACATCTCTCTGCAGTTGATTTACAAACAATTGATTGGCCATTGCAGCCATGTAATTTCCTATTTTGAGAGTTCTAATAAATACTAACTTTTGTTGACTAAGCATAATACTTAACCCTTTTAGGATTATCACACCCAAAAACATTCTAAATTGTGATTTATGCTATTAAGATTTGGATAATTACATTGATATTGTCAATAACTCCCTGAAATTCCAGTGGATATGACATGCTGTCAAAACTAATTATAAAAAATACTGTTGTTCTATGAATGTTCAATGCATATTTGAGCAAAATATAAATTATTGCTTACATGTTAAAAAAATTAGCAATTTTGTAGATATAAAAAAAATTTTTATAAAATAGCAATTATTCTTTTATATCATTTAAAAAAATTCAAAATAAATATATACAGATTGCACTTTTTAATTTTGTGCATGAATTCTTTTTTTATGTTGCAAATCATAGAAAACAAAATAATTTGATATTTTTATATTTAGAAACAATTGATTAAAACTTTATAAAAAGAAATTAATTATATAACTTACAAATCTAAGGACAACTGTCATAATATTTCAACCAAGAATAAAACAATTAAACAGATACTTTCTTATATTTAGAAATTTTGGATAAAAACTATGTCTACAAATTCTAGTAAGAAAATAAAATATAGACTATTACTGAAAATGCTAATATTAACATATAAAAATTTAGAAATGAAAGTTAATAGTGATAGGATTTTAAAAAATTTTTAAGCACTTTAATTGATTCATTATTAATAAAATTCTCTTCTTTTAACACATTCACTGCCATGAATGTTCTTAAATTTTGGTCCAATTTAATATTGCCATATGAACATCTCATTATTATTATGCTATCAGATATTAACATCACTTTATATTAAGTAATATTTTACATTGTCAGTTGTAAATTATCATCATGGCACTCTAAAATTTATAGGTAGTGATGTCATATAGCAGTTAGCAAATTAGCTAAAAATATCAATAATAATGCATTGTTTGTGAAAAACTATTTCTATACACTTGATGTTTGTCATACATATTTTTATTTGAACCATTAACTGGAAAGTAACTTTTACTAATTTTTGCATATTGTTTATATACAGGGTGTATCAGAATGACGTTTTAAAAATTTGGGGGATTGTAGAGGATGAAATTTTGAACGTTTTGATATAAGGAACCCATAGCTAGAAATGTGATATAAAGTTTCTACAGCGGTAGGAAGTGCTTGACCGCCCTCCACTTTGGTAGTTACCCTTCCATCCATTGATGTTATGTTATTGTTCTCGACTTCTTCCTCTGAAGTTATGTAAAGTCCCTTGTGTAGCAACACCTGTAGGAACAATTCATGAGCTTACAGAGTGCATTTTTACAGCATTTAATACCATCAGAGGTGAGCATGGCCTATTACAGAGAGTCGGACAAAACATGGTTCGTCGTTGCACATTATGTAATGAAGTTGGTGGTCGTCACATCAAATATTTACTCTAAAGTAGTGCAGCCACTGATTCGATATACAGTTTGATTGTACTCTACTATTTTGTCAATAAAACTTGTCATAAATACTGTATTCTGCTGTTTCATTCAGCATACCAACTGCAAAGTGCTGTAGAAACTTTATATCACATTTCTGGCTATGGGTTCCTTATATCAAAATGTTCAAAATTTTATCCTCTACAATCCCCCAAATTTTTAAAACATCATTCTGATACACCCTGTATATATTATTTTTATTTAAAAAGGTACAAACAAAATAAAATTTATAATAAAAAAAATTATATATTTTAAATATATATATATAATATGTAAAAAAACAATTAAAAAGAGAAAGATCTGAAAATACACATTGATCAATAAACTATTTTCATAAAAATACCTCAAGTTAGCAAATATTAAATCACACCAGTTAGTAAAAGTGACATGGCACAGGAGGATATGCTGTTGGTCATTGATAATTGGCATGACAGTGAATGTGATAATTCTCATTAAATGAATTAATCTCAGTTTATCACTTTTATTTTTCTTAATAGTCACTTTTTATTTGCTGACATCTTTTGCAAATAGTTGGCATATTATAAAGATTTCCTAACCTATAATGCTATAAAGCACTCCACTTTTAAACTTTAAAAAAATTTCATACTTATATATCCTATTTTCCTTCAGTAATAATTTTCAACATTTAACAATTTGTTATATGGAAGTTATCAGTCTATAGGAAAACATTCTGGCATCTCACCATTTTCTTTCATTGCAGTGCAGCCAATAAAATGTTAGCCCATCTAATTTTGTCACTATATAAAACTTTGGAACTGGCCTTAAACTATATGCAATAAAGTTGTGTAAAAATTTTAACTTAAAATAAAAATTATTCTAAATTTGGCACTATTCTTAATAAAGAATATACATATACAAACCTATTCTTCACTACTAAAAAAATTTAATTGGAATGTTAACTAAACCCATTAATAACCAAACAAGTTATGCTTTCACATTTAAAAATAAAAGATGCTTAAAAAATCTACCAAAATAAAACCCTATGCTGCATCAATATCATATAAAATTTGCTCTTTTATATTATGTACACAATAGATAATTTGATATTATTAACAAACTTTCATTATTTTATTTTCTGATCCAAAATGCACTGAACCAGTCGAGGTATTAAATATTAATGGTATTCTGCAGTCTCCAAATATCCTAAACCAGCTTCAAGCATTACATAACAATATAAACATGTAAGAAAAACCAATTGGAATGTTGGTTTGTTGGTCTTCCAAAAACTGTTTCAAAAAATATCACCTTAGAAATGGCAGCAATAAACTGCGTGGAGACGGATTGATTCTGATTATTGTGCATAAATTATACGGTGGCAGTTAATTTTTTTATGCGTTCTAGCTGTACCTCAAGTGCCATTCGCAATTTCTTTTCTTCATCTATTTCACTCATAAGTTCAAAAACTAAATTGCTGAAATAATTTCTTTGTGATTCAATTGTTTCTTTTACAGTTTCAATCTGAAAATTAAAAATATTAGTAATTTAATAAAATAATCTGTATTAAAGATAATTCAGAAACATTCTGTTAGAGTAGAGCATCGATTATCTGAATCAATTGGGGACTGGGGTTGTTTGGAAAATCAATTTTTCGGATAACCGATTATGTACGAAAAAATATATTAATCTATCCCATGTTGAAATTCATTCAAATCCTGGCACATCCTTAAGTACTCTCTCATGGTCACACCAGTGCTGCCAGCTAAAACACGCACACCAACAAAAATAATATTGGAGTAGCCCAAGACATAGCCAAAGATTGCAGTGCCACAGCACTAGCAGGAATTTAAATTTGTCAAGTGAAAAGCTTTTGATTAATTGACATTTCTGTTGATCAATATTCGGATAATCAATGCTCTACTGTATTTACCTATCATATATGAAAACTCAACTACAACTACACATACATAAATTATTCTAATGTAATATATTGTACAGTAAGACCCCATGTAACATGGGTGATGCATTCCTAGACAACAAAGCACTAAACAAAACAGCGTTAAACGAGGTCATTTTAACAGAGTAAATAGGGATAGGTAAAACATGTGATCAAAAATAAACAAATTTTACTTTAATTTTAGATTATTTGTATATTTGTTACCGCTAAAGCTCGAAATCCGTTAATGTGCGCATTACCTAGCTAATCTGCAGATTAACTAGGGTGATCCGTTAAAGCTGCGAAAATTATTCCATTTCTCAAATTACCTAGGTAATGTTCAGATTATCTAGGTAATCTGCAAATTACCTACTAGGCACTCGGTAAAGTGAAAATAAGATTTTTGCTGGAACAACAGCAACGTTTCTGTACGCTTAAATTAACATAATGTTATTTATTTAATTTTCAATAT